GTTCCGCTGCGTCGGGCGGACTTTAGACTTGTTGCGGCGAGCGGACTTCAGGCTCGTTATTTTCTATGTCCGATACAGTTGCCGGATCGGAGCCTTAAGTTAATATAAGGTCTAACTCATCTAGAGTGGCGCCGTAGATGTCTGGACTGTATCTGTCCATTGTCCTTTTGTCCGAGTCCAAGTCAGTTTGGGATGCCAGTTGTTTTTCTAAGGTTCAACAACAACCCTTTTTTGTTTCTCACGGTGCAAGTACAACTTCTCAGTTGTACTGAGAGGAGGTCCCGCCAAAACCACCCTGCTGGTTTTTTAAGAAAAAAACTTTCGAACCAGCAGCCTCCAGAGAAAAGGAAGTGAAAATTGACGTACTTTAGGTGAGCGGGATCGGGGCTCCAATTCGGTTTTTGAAATCCGAGGGGCCAAAGTTATATTTACACGGTGTCTAGAAACTTTTATTTACAACGACAGAACGTTGAACTCAGATGGCACTCTGAGGAAACCGTCGGGCGGCTTCGAGAAGTTAACGTGACAAGGAAAAAACACGGAGGAACAAAAACGGTGCACCAGGTCCGAAAACCAGTCTAACCTCTGAAGGTTTGTGTGTTTTTTTGTCAAGTTTCGTCTGTCGGTCGTTAAAAATAAGTTTTCCTAAAAACCCTCTATAAAATTCAAGCTAGGGGTAATCTCGGCTTCTGCCTTCTTATAAGATTCTGTCCTAACCTGGTGAAGCTATCTAGCTTTTAAGTCAAATAGAAACGGAGATTTTTCCATAAAAAATTCCAAGAAAAAATCATTGCTTCGGCTTCTTGCCTTTTTTAAAAACTCTGTCCCAACCTGGCGAAGCTTTCAAGCTTTAAATTAAAGTGAAATTGAGATTTTTCCTAAAAAGTCTCAAGAAAAATTCAAGCTTGAATAATTTAGACATCGGTCTTTTTCAAATTCCGTCCCAACTTGGTGAGCAATTGTAAGAAGAGGATGATTATTTGATTTCAGAGCTTTAATTCGCCGTGGAGCTTGCAAAGGAGAAGTGGATTTTCGTAAAAATCCACGAAAATCGTCGTCGGCGGACACGGAGGGGCGGAGACCTTTGAAGAAGGTATCCAAAAACAGTAATGACAATCGCGGGGAAGGAGTCTAGGTTTTCCTAGACGGAATGCTGCACGAATGTGCCGAATTTGAAACGCGGGGCTCAATTAAGAACCAGAAATCAAACGAATTTTCTTTTTCTTCTAGACAGTTATACTGAAAAGGACTTCGTCGGGTATTGGTGGTAATTTAAGTGAAGTACTCTCAGAGCTGGACAGTAGCTAGCTACCAAGTAGTTAAGCTACTAGCTTAGCTACTTTTTTGGTAGCTAATAACTTATTCAAGCTACTTTGAAAAAAAAGTAGCTTGTAGCTGTAGCTTTTGGTAGGTAATGTGTTCCATGTATTCATAAGCTACTGTGAAAAGTAGCTAGCTACTAAAACAAGCTACTTTTTTTGGTAATAATATGTGAAGTTACCTATAGTTCTTGGGTGAATATAATAAATAATTCTAGCTGATTTATCTTCTAAAAGAGACGGTAAGATCAACTTATCGCCCGCAAACGCGGGCGGTAAGTTGAATTTACCGCTCGATAAAAGTAACTTTATAGGTACTTTAATTGCTCAAGCTACAATTATCATTTCTCGGAAAAATCTTATCCTGCCTTGCTTACACTAGTTTCTACTTATCTCTGGGTACCTATGTTTTATGAGTTCTGTTTTATTCTCGCATTCGCAGATCACTGTGATCAAAGTGAACCTAGTAAATTAATGTCCAGTGGTTTTTGACAATAATATGGAAACTATTTCCTAGAGAAAGTCAAAATGTTATTTTCGTATGATGATATTATGAAATTAAATCAAGTAAGTCTGTACAGGGTGTCCCAAATTCGAGGGACAATATGGGGATATCGGTAACCGTTGGAGATACGAGGGTTGATGATGGCATTGGAAAACCGAAACGTCGAATTTCTAAAATAATATGACCACAGTAAAGCCCACCCAAAAGTGCTCCAAAAAAGTTATCTTGATTTTTCTCGATCTCTTAAAATAATAATCGCAATTTTCGGAATTTTCCGGAAGTATTAGGAATTTCTCAAATTTTGAAACGGCATTTTGTCAAAATGCGCAACGCGCAACTTTTGTCTAATTTAACCATCCTCGTATCTCTTATGGTTACCGATATCCCCATGTTGGCCCTCGAATTTGGGACACCCCGTACATTGATGGTGGCGGTTGTGCACGTTTTTTTGTTTTTATTAATTTAACTTTCAAAAAAGTAGCTTTAATAGTAGCTTTCACTAATTCAATATGTAGTTAAGTTACCAATAGCTTAGCTACTTTTTTGAAGAGGTAGTTAAGCTACTGAGTAACTTAGCTACTTACAATATAAAGTAGCTTGTAACTTGTAGCTAGCTACTTTTTCCAAGTAGCTTGCCCAGCTCTGAGTACTCTCCTAGGACACCAACCTCCAGTGCGAGGATTGATACAGGTTTCCTGTCTGCGAACTAGGCTTGTCCGGAAGCTTTAATACGCGCCCGAGGGGGTTATAACGAGGGCTCTCTCTCTTCTTTCTTCGTACCCGTAGGTAGCTCGCACCAGTAACACAATGGGGGGCTCGTCTACCGGCCAACTAATTTGATCCCGATGGTAAGGGGACCCTCGCCGCTGTGTTACCAGCCTAATACGCGATCCTGAATACCGGGTACATGTCACAGTATTCCTGCCGTACAAATGAGGTGAGGTGAGAGCTGTTCTTGTCTCCGAGGCGGAGAGCGGGGTAGGCAGGTGAGTTGATGACTCGATCACTGTCTGAATAAGACTGACTAACTAGCCTGAAAATGGCTTCTTTTATACGTTTTGTCGATACTTTACACAAGCTCCGCAAACACTATTAATTAAAATAAAATCTGTAACTCAGTTAATAATTAATTAATTCTATTTTTTCTTCGACTATTTAGGAGCACTTAAATAGCACCTAATTCTGATACAAAAAAATTATTTTTTTTTACTATAGGGGCTGCTAGCATTCATAAACCTAGCAATCCCTTAGTTTTTCTTGATTTTCTCAAAAACTAAAGGAGCACCTAATTTTCAATTAGAGGCCCTAATTAGCACCTGAAAAGCACCTAATTATTATATAGATCCCGAAGTTTTTTTGCCATTCTGACACACAACAACTAAACGTAAAGCCAGCAGTCCCCTAATAATTAAAAAAAAATCTGTAACTCAGTTAATAATTAATCAATCCTATTTTTTCTTCGACTATTTAGGAGCACCTAATTCTGATACAAAAGAAATTTTTCGGAAAAATATTCTTCACTATAGGAGACTACTAGCTTTCATAAACCTAGCCATCCCTTAGGTTTTTTTGATTTTCTCAAAAACTAGAGGAGCGCCTAATTTTTAATTAGAGGCCCTAATTAGCACCTAAAAAGCACCTAATTATTATATAGATCTCGAAGTTTTTCCGTCATTCTGACACACCAACATGTAAACGTGAAGCCAGCAGTCCCCTTATATTAAAAAAAAATCTGTAACTAAAAAGCACCTAATTCTGATACAAAAGGAAATTTTGGAAAAATATTTTTTACTATAGGGGACTACTAGCTTTCATAAATCCTTAGTTTTTTTTTTGATTTTCTCAGAAACTAAAGGAGCACCTTTTATTACAGGCCCTAATTAGCACCTAAAAAGCACCTAATTATTATATAGTTCCCGAAGTTTTTTTCCACCTTGGGACTGCTAGGTTTATAGACCTATAACCGGTGAGTGAAACATCAATAGAGATTTGTCAAAGTTTAATCAAATCCTTTGCGCATCATGGCACACCAAGTAAAATTACTACTGATGATGCACAAACTTTCAAAGGTAATCTAATACAAGACCTCTGTAAAACCTATAAGGTTGAATTGCATTTCACTACACGATACAATCCAAATTCAAACTCGCCAATTGAAAGATTTCATTCGACAATAAAAGAAAGCATGATAGATCTATGAATTGAGCATCGTACCGAAACAATTCAAGAATTGATTGATATTGCAATTTCAAATTATAGCAACAGTATTCATTAGGCACATGACTACACCCCTTTTCAGATATTTAACACTCGCTCACTACCAGAAATGACGTTGCAAATATAATTCTTGTTTCTTCAATTAGTACGCGAGAAAGAAACGGTTTCGCTTTTCGTAATTTATTGTTTCATGTTTTACGTTTTATGTTTTATGTTTCACGATTGATGTTTCTTTGATGTGCGGCCTGCCTAAGGGAACTTCTGTCACACAATAAGATGACAATTCCCTTATAATTATCCCAACATCAAAAGAGAGCATTTACTTCCAATGTCCCAGCCAACATAGTGTTGAAGTACTTAAGAAGTAAAATTTCATTGATTTTACCCTCAATAATTATGATTCTCAAAAACCAAACATAATTAATTTGAGACTAAAACTACTATCAATCAATATTGACGAAGAGTTGATCCAAAATATCGAACCTTTACAATCAACAGAAATAAATCTTGAAACTATAAGAGAAGATTTAGAAAATGCTAAAAAACTAACCATCCACCCTCTTAAAAAGAATTCGATAATGGTAGTTCAAGTTTATTAATAAATTGTAATGATTATATTAATCATTGTAATCATAGTTTTAATAATCTCTATATGTCGTCATTATAATTATTGTAAGAAAAAACAAACTTATGTAAAAGTGGGCATAAAATTGAAACTTTTCGAAAATCATCCCCAATTTTCTCAAATTTAGTGAGGGAGAAACTATATGACCACTTCTGACGACGAATTATTTTAAAATAAGGAATTTTAGCAAAATTCTCATTTTGTTTTTTAATGATAACATCTTTGACTTCTAATAAATCGTTTTTTCTTTTAATAATTTGTAAATATAACCTTTCATATTTTTAATAATTGTAATGTTTTTCTACTAAGTATATTCACAAAAAAAAATACTTACGGACAAGTTTGGGCCCTTTGCAAATTTTGGTACCGTTCACTTTGATCAGGGTGAGCTGCGGTATAGATTCTCGAACTGGAAAATGTATGCGGTACCGGACAGATTTGGCCGTTCCGAACAATAACTCATCCGTATCGTTCAGCAGGTCGATGCTTGAAACCTTAAAACACATTTTATGAATGGATTATTAGACATTTGTTATCACATTCTCACACTTTTACGTCTAAGATGAGTCCCTTTCATAGATGCCTCGACTTCCAGGTGTATAGGTAAACCAACAAATGGTATGGTAACGAGTCCTGCTACTTTTGACTTAACAAGTTCGTATCTGTAAAAAAAATAAATAAGGTTGTTTATAGTTAATTTATTGATAGAATTTGATGTTCTCACTTGAAAAATTCAGGACATGGGTTATTTGGTAAGCTATCTCCCTTTGCCAGAGCCAGAAAATTTATGAATACCACAAACTTAATAAATTTAATCATTGTGGCTACCTTTATATGTATTGATTGATTAATTTTGTATGATTTTCAAGTTAAAAATTATTGCGCTCGCGAGCTCTCGAATTACTGACTAAATGTGGCACCCTATAAATGAAATGACTACCACAATGAACAATGTTATCAACCAAATGACATCATTTAATTGTAAAATAGATGCAATGAAAATAATTTGCTGAATGAATGGTTGATATACTGATACGATTCATTCATATAAATAGCTTGTTCAGTATTATTATAAATACTTTTGTTACAGTTTTAGTGATTCCATCCTACAATGGCAGCTCAAAAATCACCTAGAAGAGACGAAGGCCGTCCCCCAGACACCCCAATTTTCACCAGGAAACATCCTATAACCAAATATTCCTACGTGACTAAATCAGTGCCTAAAAATCCGTTTTTGAATGCCAAAAATCAACAAACTTATATTGGGTAAGTGATCTTTTTTGTTTATAAAAAAATTGTTGATTGATATTTTTTTCAAGATTCAATGATCTTCTTGAAGACAACATTCATCTAGTGAACGACGTCAACGAAAACAATTTAGCTGAGAAATCAGACAACCACTTGCTGAAAATTTTATGTTTGAAGCAAAGTTGTGAAAATTCATCCTTAAAAACACTCTGCGTCAATTCACTAGAAAATTTAAACGGCAATAAACCTTCATTAGGTGAGACACACTTCACAATTTGGAACTTTTTTTAAACCTTATTGTTTTTCTATAGACAATAAACCAGATTCCTCTGACAAACCGAAAACCGACAACTACTATCCGGAAAAACCGAAAAATCGCAACAGTTTCCATCAAAATGTCGAAGAAGCTTTGAGTTCTTTGCTGTGGCAACCTTATGAGTACCAGACTCAGAACAACAACGAATGCAGTGTTGCCAACAACGGCAATGATTATTATGATTATGAGTCCTATTCAACTTGGTAAGTTTGCAGATAATTTAAATCAACTTTGTTATGTAGATCCAAATAGTTGTATCATTCTCTCTCTTTCTCTATCTGTCCATTTCCTTCTTGATTATAACTGGTAGTTCTACTGATGATCTTGCAAAAAGTTTTTCAATTCTGAAAACATAAAAGCAGATCCACAATCTGAGTGTATAAGATTTGGCATTCCAAAACTAGTTGAAAAATACTTATTTGTCAAGTGCTTCTTAACAGAAGCTGTTGAAACGTCGTGGCAGTGAAAAGCAAAAGGAAATCGGAAGTACCTATTCAACAATTATAGTTGAGTATAAATTTATTGGTGTTCAAACTTGGTAAATGGTCCTTTAAAATGCATGCATAATCTTTCAAATGGAACTACTGCTGTCATTTGCAAGTTGCAAGTCAAGTGAAGTTCCTTAAACGGTGTATATTGGTACTGCCTATAACTTCCAGTACCATTTTGTGCCCGAGATTGGAGTGGATATGTCCATATTTTCACAAAAACTTTTTTTCGATGAATCGCAGTTATTAGTTTCACCCTCTTAAACCACCCTCAAAGTTATTTGCAAGTCTTTTTAGGTACCTATCTTAAACGGTGTATATTAGGCAATCCAATCCATCTGTGAAAATATAAATTCAATATGGCGTGGCGGCCGAGCAAGTTAATTTTGAATATGTGTTTTTATGCGTATTTTAATTATTTTGCTTCGAGTTTTGCTTGTAACTTTGATTTTGATTATTTAATAAAATATTTGTTGACTAAGTACGTAAACTCTTTAACACAATTTTATCTCAGGAACTATAAGTCCAAATGAGTTGAAATTTTCAGGGATTGAAGTCCTCTACTGGAATAAGAATCGCTGAAAATTTCAGCTGTCTATCTATAAAAGAAAAAAACTTATGACCTTTCAAAGTTTTCCAAAATCTAAATCATAAGGTAGCTACCTTCTTACTGAAACTTGAAAAACTCTTGAAATTTAATGAAAAGTTATAAAATAAAATAAATTTAAAAAGAATCTGACGCCACTGGCCAATTGGCAACGTTCGGTAGTTTGGCTGCTAACTGTTAGCTGTCAAGTTCACATCAGTTGGGAATGTACTAGTCTTGGTGGTGAAGCAGGCCCTGCGATCTCTCATTGCCAGTTATAAACCACATAATAACTCTTTTCCGTTTTTCTAGATGTCGCTGACAACCACAGAATTGTCAAAATTGGAAAATACCAGCACATCAAGAACACGTCCAATGTCGATAACATTGACATGAGATTGCCATGTCAACATATGACAATATGCCAAAATATTCATTTGATCATAACTAATAATTCATAATGTTTTTTGTTCGCCGGTCTTGCATTTCATCTTTCTTTGTGTTGTCAAGTGTTCTTAAGTGATTTCAAAGTTGTTTTGTGTGTTTCAAGAAGAACTTCAAACTGTATAGATTGGAAGATCTATTTTTATCTTTGTTGATTAGATAAATGACAGGTTCAATTAAACATTAATCAGAACTTTGAATAAATATGTTAAGGATACCCTTAACCATCGTCTTTTGATCTAATTAACAAATTATCAATTAATTTAAGCAAACATTAATGCCTCAAAGTCCAGAATAAACGAATTTGAACAGACCGACAGTAATGCGAACAGGGCGCCATCTATCATAAAAAGTCCTTTGTAAAGTAGGTGTCTGTAACATCGATGCAAAACCAGTAAATAGTGATTTTCCGATATGGTAGATGGCGCTGGCTTGGCTCAATTTTGTTGGCAACAAAATTTACACTGAGATTCCATTCTCGACAGTTTATATAGTATTTATCTCTGGTGGTGAAGCCTCCACTCATATGACTCAGGACCCATTAGCACAGTTGCTTTCTAAGGGAAAAAATTACCCGAAAGAAATTAGACATCTTATTGTAGAAAAAAAAGGAAAACTAAGAAGGAAATGGCAGCAGAGTCGAGATCCCAAAGACAAAACAATTCTCAACAATATAACGCAACCCATAAGGCGGGAAATTTAAAAAATCAAAAATGACTCTATTAACAATCCTTGGTGAATTCACAGACGACAAAAACACTTTATTATTCCCTATGGAAAGCAATCAAAAGTCTTAAAAGACCAAAAACCCAAATTTCACCCATAAGAAAGTCAAATCAGCAAATGGACAAGGAGTAACGAAGAGAAAGTAGAACTTTTTGCAAGACATTCCAACCTAACAAAGGAAGCACAAGATGAAAATCTTCCCTAACATTAGGTTTACTTCACCAAGAGAAATATTAGCAGAGATCAGGCAGAGATCAAACAAAATATTTATTCGAAAAAGCTCCAAGATTTGACCTTATTTCTGGTGAAGTAGTAAAACAACTCCCCAGGAAAACTATGCAACCTATTCAATGCGTCCTTTAAACTTAGATACGTAGGTATCACCTAAACTTTCAAAATTTGCAGAAGTTACCATGATACCAAAACCCGGAAAAGCCCTCTATGGTCGACCAATTAGACATAGTAACCAATATAATAGAAAAATCGCTGTAAAAAAGAAAATTCTGTTCCGCAGTCTTCCTCGATGTAACGCAAGCATTTGGCAGAAAGACCTAAACTATAAACTGAAACTGTTTCCGCCAAAACAATATTCTGATATTTTGGAATTATGTAATAGTCATTTCCTATAGTCAAACAGGAAGATTTTGAGTCAAATTTACGATAAATAAACACCTGTACTAGGACCCTATACTTATGTTTATTAACTAGATATTTGCGTCATCCCAACAAGAAAAATATCTTGGCATGACCTGATGTGAAATTGCGCTGGAAAGCAAATGTTAAAAAAAAGGTAAGAGCTTATACAGCAATGATAATGACGAAGAAGTTTTAGAAGCAGGAAAAAAAGTACTGAAGAAGAACATAAGATTTGCAATAAGGAATTGACAAGGAATGAATTTCTGGGGAAATTTTTGTACATGTCTTAGTAATTCCCGAGGAAGTTGAGGAAAGTTTCAACAATTCGAGGAAGTGGTAAGAATTTATGAGGGAAGTTGAGGAAGTCGTGAGAAATTCCTTGAGAAATATGGGAAGTTTAGAGGAAGTTACTAAGGAAGTCAGGAAGTTCAGAACGTATGCGCATGCGCCTTGAAGAAGCGCATGCGACAAATTTGAATAGAAAAACAGAAAGTCCTAGAAATTTTATCATATAAGATTTCATAATACTTTTCCGAATTTCACCATAAGATTCCATGGAATTCCACAATAAAATTCAATGGAAATCTTTTACAAAAATTTCTCGGCATTACAGTAAAAGATTTCATGAAATTTCTCGGAATTCCACTAAAATTTTATGTAATTCGACAGAAATTACTCAGAATTTCACTAAAATTTAATTCAATTTTTCGGAATTCCGTCGAAATTTTTCGTGGTTCAATGGAAATTCCACAAAAAATTCTGTTTAATTCCAAGGGAATTTTTCGGATTCGATGTAATTTCACTGGAATTCCACAATAAGATTTCAAGTAATTAATTCCATATAGGTATGTAATTCGACGAGAACTCCATTAAATTTCACTCGGCATTTCATCGAAATTTTATGTTAGTCGACACAAAGTGAAATTGTATATAATTTGATGGAAATTTTGCGAATATTTCATTTTTTTTTTCCCGAAATACCACTGAAATTCTCCAAAATTCTATAGAAATTCTAAATTCCATAATTTTTTTAAAACTTTACTGAAATTCTCCAAAACTTCACCACTGAAATATCTTAGAATTCCACAAAATTTTCATAAAATTTTTCGGAATTTCACTGTCATTTGCTATAATTTCTTAGAAATTCTAAACTTTTATGAGAATTTTTTGAAATTTCACTAAAATTCCACGAAATTAGGAAAATTTCATTTATTTCCATAAGAATTTTTAGGAATTTTACTGTTTCAATAGTCAGGAATTTCTGGGAATATTAATGACACTTCAAGTAATTTCTTGAAAATTCACCGAAATATATTGAAATTTCATATCATTACATGGGAATTTTTCCAAATTTCACCCAAATTCCAAGTTTTTAGCCGAATACTCCTCGAAATTCCACTTGTGAAATTTTCTCTAATTTTACTAAAATTCAGTAAATCGATGGGAATTTTTCGGGATTTCAATTTCACTAAAATGCCATGTTTTTAATTGGG